GTTAAACCACTACAGTGTGGGTTCCCATTGGTAGCATGTATCAATCCAACTATCTCCAGGCTTTCCTGGAAGTATTGCTTCCAGGATAAATTAGATTTGTTACAAGAAAGTCTGAGCAACACAGTACAAATATGATAACTACCAACACTTTTCATACCTTACCTTGCCATGTATTGCTATTTTCAGTGGATCTGATGCAATGATAACAATAGTGAGACATGCTAAGAGGAATATACGTACATAGACAAGTTGTTGCTATTTCCTCCAAAGCATTCCATCAGCTAATGACAAATCATGAGACATATTTTAACATGATTATTAGATATGTAATTACCTCAAGCACAGATATTCTTGGGAACCAGTAAAGATAGAACAAACATAGGAGCTGATCATGGCCAGTGATTTATTTATATGAACTTATAAGATAATAAGGATAATAAGGCAGGATAAAATGAGTTAGCCATGAGATTTTTAGAATTCTCCCACAGAGCTATTTCTACCATAGGGGCAAGACAGTCTGGGGTTATTTTGGTTTACTTTTGAAAGTGTGTATGCTAATTCTTTAGGGCTGTTGATTGTAGCTGTATTGGCCTAAGGACACAGGCAGACAAGGTTCTTCAGGTAGATGTGATATCTTTTATGAGACCAACTCAATAGTTGGAAAAATTGTTCTTTGCAAGCTTTTGGGCACAAACAACCTTCTTCAGGCATAGGGAGACTCTCTCTAAGACTCTTCCTATGCCTGAAGAAAGGTATTTGTGCCCGAAAGCTTGCAAAGAACATTTTCCCCAACTATTTAGTTGGTCTAATAATAAAAGATATCGAATCTACCCAAAGAACCTTGTCTGCCTATGCTAATTCTTGAGACTTAACTATCTAATGTATAGGAAACTAATAACAATATCATAAAAGAGAGAAATTCAAGACAGAATGACTTACAGAGAAATGTACAGGGATGCATTAGATCAAGGGAAGTCAAGATATGCACATTAATTCCTTTTGGAGTATAAACATGATTGGCTAACTTGAGCCACCTGCCCACGGGTCTCCTGTTCACTGAGGGCAGAGTCTGCACAGGGAGTTCAGGAAGAGATTTCATGTGAGGAGCACACATAGGGCGCAGGATGAGGAAATTCCTTATCCTTTCCCCATAAGTACATAGAAGCACTGAGAACAATTAATTCCATGTTCTACATTGCACGGGACAAGATATGGTTGTGGAGACAATGCAGAATTAGCTACTTGTTTTCTTTTCTCCTTCTTTCCTGCCGTTTGTTTCCTTTTCTCCTTTCCTTCCCAGCTAACATAAACAACAACCTCAGAGTCAACAGAAGAGTAATGTGCACAGCACCCCCAGAGCCAAATCCCTAACTCCCACTTAGTTTACAGTGAGAACTCCCAAACATAAATTCAGGCACCAAAGCTTTCCTCTCTTCCCACGCAAACAGAAAGCCCCTGCACAGAAGGCTTATACAGCATGAAGCTAAGAGTGGGAGGGAACAAGCTGGCCTCCAGCGTATTTCCCATGTTCTCAAGCCAGCTAAGGAAGCAATGGTTAACAGGAACAGGCCTCTAATCAGTAACGTGAAATAGACTGCTCGCCAATCAGCCATCTGAAATGCAGCATTTTATCATGAAATTTCTAATAACCATGTTAGGAGGCATTGCTAAGCCCACAGATATATTCTGAATACAGAGTGCCATTTCTGGGATGGTTCTGGCATGTAGAAAGATAGTAAGTCTCAAAAGGCCCATTTTTACTACAGAGCTAAGTTGGGATTTGAACTTATTGTTCAAGGATTGTCAAATGTTCCCTGCTCTACCAGACTGCAAATTCTCCTCTGTGTTTTGCAACCCACTACTTGTTGAAGAAAAAAAATATATAGTCATATTTCAGATCTTACCGTACCTGCCCCGCCACCTACACTGAGAATATTGATTGCAGACTTTCCGTTGCCAATGCTGAAAACAAAAATGAGTTTACATATTTCAGGATAGATATTCAACATACAGAATTGTATTAGTTACTTCAAAGCAACAAGTAATGACTGCAGATTAAAACATATAGGAAAAAATCCACCATATAAATGTGTGTGTGCATGTGTGTGTGTGTAGATGTATGTATGTCTGTTTATGTTAGTACAGCACCATAAATGTACAGGCAGACATGGACAAATTAGAATTCTTGCTTAATTTTGAATCAGTAATCACTCAGACTGTACCTGGGTATTACACCCATATGATAACTGAATAAAAACAGAAACCTGCATATATTTTTTCACTTCCCTGCTCGGAGGAGAACCTACTTCCACAAACCTATGCAAATGTAAATATATTTCTAATATGTATCTGTGTACACGTGTGTTTGTACTGTACTTGATTGCACCTGGTCATGGCTTTGGTTTATAAGCTGTCCAGGACAGAGATTGCTTTACTGTTTTATACAGCTTGTTTGGGGAAGCATATATACAAGTCTGTATTTACACCAGTGTAAAGCCAGGGCTGATTCCACTGATCAGTAAGAATGCAGGTGCCAAGAGAGAAGGCAGGACAGAAAATGATAATCTGTCGCAAAAGGAGCAGAAATGCCTACAGTAAGGAAAGTACCCCTTCAGGCCCCTGGCCAAAGTTACACTTCAGACATGATTAACCAATTAATCACATCCTAACTAGTAATCCAGCCACATATTCATGCAATTAATGGTGTGATAAAACAGGGAATAAACCACCAAACAGGTACACAAAATGTGTGTAACAACTGTGCGACTAGTTCCTATTGCACCTAAATTGATCATGGGGCCAGCACTGACAAACTCATCAGTGCTCGCAGACTTGGGAACACCAGTCAGTTGATCAGTGCTCCCAGCTGTGACAGCACATGGGGGGGCCCTGGTTCAGGAAGGGCCTCCATTCCCCTGAACTCCCATGGCTGCAACCATCAGCTGAACTTGCTCCTTGTCAGCACAGAGGAAGCCAGACATTGTGACACTGGGCTCCCTTTGCAATAGGGCGTGACTGGGATCTGATCCACAGCCCCTCAATTGTGCCTCCCGCCACAGTCCCACAATTGTGCCTCCTGCACATGTGGCCTGGTAAGAAGCACAATTGTTAGGATCAGATCCCATTGCACCTTTAACTGAATGTCTGTCAGCGGCCTCAGTTATATTGGTGCTCATGTATAAGATCATTTCTCCGTTGAAATCAATATCAAACTCTGATTTGACTTTCTGTTCAAAGCGATTCTGACGGAGTTAGCAGGACAGAAGCCAGCTCAGAAGGAGAGGAAGCCAAGCCTACAGAGCAGAACTCAGTTGCACAATCTAGGACCTTGGAAACAAATGGGAAGAGGAGCACGGTAGAATATGGAATTAGGTTGAAGCCAAGGGTCTTTCAAGACAAAACAAAGCAGATATGTTTCTAGACAAAGGAAAGGAGACGAGATTGCCAGGGGAGCATAGGAGGGTTTTGAAGTGAAGAATCAGGAAAGAAATGACATAAATAGAAGAGACAAGGGGTGTGGGAAAGGGAAGGCGGGATAGAGAAGGCAGGAAAGGGGGGGGGGTGGCACTCTATGTCAAGGAGCACTACACATCCTCTGCCGGCAGAATGGGGTCAGGGGAAGGGCAAGCTGAAGTGCTCTGGGTCAAGATCCAGGGGGGGCAAGGCGAGAGGGATTTGACGGTGGGGGTCTATTACAGACCCCCCAATCA